TTTCACTTAGCATAATAGTTTCCAGTTCCATTCATACTGCTGCAAAAGGCAGGAATTCCTTCTTTTTCTGCTGCATAGTATTCCATTAAAACTGTAAATGTACCAGTTTTTTGATCCACTCATTTACTGATGGGAACTTGGACTGTTTCCAAATCTTGCTGATTGTAAATAGCACTGCTATGAACACTGGGGTGTATAAATTTTTTTGAATTGGTGTTTCATGATTCTGAGGGTATATTCCTAGCAGTGGAATCATTGGATCAAAAGTCAGTTTGATTTTTAATTTTTTGAGGAAACCCATACTGTTTTCCACAGTGGGTGCACCAGTCTGCATTCCCACCAACAGTGCATTAGGGTTCCCTTTTCTCCACATCCTGTCCAACACTTGTTTGTTGATTTACTAAATGATAGTTATTTTGGCAGGTGTGAGGTGATATCTCATTGTGGTTTTAATTTGCATTTCTCTGATAGCTAGTGATGCTGAACATCTTTTCATGTACTAGTCCTTTGTTCCAGATGTTTGCAAATATTTTCTCTCACTCTGTAGCTTATCTTTTCATCCTTATAATTGTTTCTTCCACAGAGAGAAGTTTTTAATTTTAATGAAATTCAATTTTCAAATCTCCCTTTTATGGATTGTATTTTGGTGTCAAATCTTAAGAACTTTACATAGCCCTAGATCCTGATTTCCTATGTTTCTTTCCTAAAACTTCATTTTCCTTTAGTTCCATAATCCATTTGGAGTTAATTTTTTACATAAATATGAGACTTAAGGTTCAGGTTTGGTTTTTTTGCCTATGGATGGGTGTGGTGTCCAACTGCTCCAGTACTATTTGTTTAAAAGGCAATCCTTCTTCCACTGAATTGCTTTTGCATCTGTCAAAATTCAGTTGTGCCTTTTTATGTGGGTCTACATCTGGATTCCCTGTTTTGTTCCACTGATATATGTGTCTCTCCATTAATGCTTCAGTCTTAATTACTATAGCTATACAGTAAGTCTTAAAATCAGGTAGACTGAGTCTTCCCACCTAAAAAAATCATTTTAACTATTCTAGTTCCTTTACTTTTCCATATAAATGTTAGAATAATCTTGTCTACATATACATAAAATCTTGTTGGGATTTTAACAGGAATTGGGCTAATCTGTATATCAGCTGGAAGAGAACTGACACCTTAACTATGCTGAGTTTTACAATCCAGATGTTTGGATGGTAAATGGACACAATATGTCTCTCCATTTATTTAGATCTTCATGATTTCTCTCATTAGCATTTTTTTAGCTTTCAGCATACAAGCTTAACAGGTTTTGTTAGATTTAAACAAATAATATTTCAACATTTTTGTGAGTGAATGTAATTTCAGGGTTCACATATTCATTGCTAACATCTAAAAATACAACTGACTTTTATCTTCCAAACTTGCTGAACTCATGTCTTAGTTCTAGTTTTTTATGAATTCCTTAGGATTTTCTATTTAGACAAACATACCATCTGCAAATAGAAAATGTTTTATTTCATCCTTTCTGATCTATATGCCTTTTCTTTTACTTGCCTTATTGAACCGACTAGAACTTTTGTACTATGATAGTAAAGTGATTTAACTGATTCCTCATCTTAAAGGGAAAGTACTGTCTTCTCACCATTAAGCATAATATTGGCTGTAGATTTTTTTAGACATTCTTAATTATTTTTCTGAGAGTTGTTTAAAATAACGAGTGCTAAATTTTGTCAAATGCTTTTTCTCCACTAATAAATTTTGGTCCCATGGGTTTTTTCCTTCAATTTGTTAAAATGGTGGATCACATTAATTTTGGAACACTAAGGCAGCCTTGCGGCCCTGGAATAAACCTCACTTGGTCAATATATATATGACTTTTTACACATTGATGAATTCTATTTGCTGTATTATAAGATTGTTTATGTCTCTATTTATATATTGGGTTGGCCAAAGAGTTTGCTTTTTTCTGTAAGACGGCTCTAGCAGCATTTAGTTGCCTTAAACTTCATTTGAAACAATTTTTTAGATTGCATTGTGGCAGCTGTCATATCAGTGTGTTTAAAAAATAACTTACTGACTTCTGGTCACCACAGAGGCATAGGGAAACACAGCTCACCTCTCTGTACAACCACAGCAAAAATTACAACTAGACTACAAAACAAATATCACCCAAAACATCAGAAAATCAAGCTGTATGGAAGTCAGATAACCAAGGAATTAAAGAAGCCATATTCACCCAGGTGGGTAGAAGGGGCAGAGACCTGCGGAGTCACTCAGAGAGGCACAGAGCTATGGAAGGGGCAGTCCCACACCCCAGTGTAGTGGGTAAAAATCAGGAGGGATACCTTGGGAGCACAAGATCCCATCCACACACCAGACCACTCTGCCCAGGGTTTTACAATAGTTCATCCACTAAGACAGGGAGTCATAGCAGCTCTTCCTAATACATAGAAACAAACACAGAGAGGCTGCCAAAATGAGGAGACGAAGAAACATGGCCCAAATGAAAGAACAGATCAAAACTCCAGAAAAAGAACTAAACAAAATGGAGATAAGCTATCTATCAGATGCTGAGTTTGAAACACTGGTTATTAGGACACTCAAGGACCACACCGGATACATCAACAGCATAAAAATATCAGAAATGAAAGTTACATTAAGAGAAATAAAGAAAAATTTACATAGAAACAACAACGGACTGGATGAAGCCAAGAATCAAATAAATGATTTAGAACATAAGGAAAAAAAAAACATTCAATCAGAACAGGAAGAAGAAAAAGGAATTTAAAAAAATGAGGACAGACTAAACCTCTGTCCTGGGACATCTCCAGACATACCAACATCTGAATCACAGTGGTGCTAGAAGGAGAAGAGGAAAAGCAAGAAACTGAAAACTTACTTGACAAAGTAATGAAAGAAAACTGCCCTAATTTGAAAAAACAAATATAGATCCAAGTCCAGGGAGCATAGAGAATTTCCAACAAGATGGACCCAAAGAGGACCATACCAAGGCACATCAAATTAATATGCCAAAGGTTAAAGGTAAAGAGAGGATCTTAAAAGCAACAAGAGACAAGCAGAGAGTTACCTACAAAGGAGTTCCCATAAGACTGTCAGCTGATTTCTCAAAAGAAACTTTGTAGGCTAGAAGAAACTGACAAGAAGTATTCAAAGTGATGAAAATAAGGACCTACAACCCAAATTACTCTACCTAGCAAAGCTGTAATTTAGCATTGAAGGGCAGGTAAAATGTTTCCAAGACAAGAAAAAACTGAAGGAGTTCATCGTCACCAAGCCATTATTATATAAAATGTTAAAGGAACTTATTTTAAGAAAAAGAAGATCAAAACCATAAATGTTAAAATGGCAAAAAATTCATAATTATCAACTGAATCTAAAAACAAACTAAGCATACAAGCAGAACAGAAACAGAACAACAGATATGGAGACCATTTGGAGGGTTATAGTTGGGAGGAGAAGAGGAGTAGGGAAAAAAAAGTGCAGTGGTTAAGAAGCATAAATGGTAGGTACAAAAGAGACAGGGGGAGGTTAAGAATAGTGTAGGAAATGGAGTAGCCAAGGAACTTATATGCATAACCCACGGACATGAACTAAGTGGAGGGATTGCCAAAGGGAATGGGGCATAACAGGTGGAGGGGAGCAAAGAAGGAATAGTTGGGACAACTCTAATAGCATAATCAATAAAATATATTTTTAAAATAACAAAATAAAAATTAAAAACTTATCAAAACTGATGAATTTCTATGTATCCAACTTAATATTGAAGATGAAAGAAAATATATAACATTTTTGGCATATTATGCTTTATTATTTCAAAGGAAGGTAAAAACACAATGAACACCAAAAAAAGATTTGTGCAATGTATGGAAAAGGTGTTGTGACTAATAGAACATGTCAAAAGTGGTTTGCAAAGTTTCATGCTGGAGATTTCTCACTGGACGATGCTCCATGGTAGGATGGACCAGTTGAAGTGGACAGCAGTCAAATGCAGAAATTAACTAGAACACTTAAATGTTATACCACATGGGAGACAGCAGAAAGAAAATATCTAAATCAATAAAGTTACCGGTGAAAATGAAAACTGTGTCTTTTATTTAAGAAAATATACATACAGACTTTTTGGCCAACCCAATATTTATCTGTAGTTTTCCTTTTATGTACTATCTTTGTCTAGTTTTGGTACTAATTTTAATTCCTCCTTTTCTGTTTTCTGGAGAGACTGTATAGAATATCTGTTAAATATTCTTTAAACAGGTAGAATTCTCCAGTGAAACTATCTGGGCCTGAAGACTTCTTTTCTGGGAGTTTTAAAATTACAAATTCATTCTCCCAAACAGGTAAAGGGTTATTTGGGTTATTTATTTCATGTTGGACTAGACAATAGTAATTTGTTTTTCTTGAGGAAGTCGTTTACCTTGTTTACATTGTCAAGTTTGCACGTGTACATTTACTAACAGTATTTCCTAACCATCCTTTGGTGTCTGCAGGGTCTGCAGTGGCATCCTCTGTTTTATTCCTAATACGGATCATTTGTGTTTTCTCTCTTCCAGTTTACTGATTCTTTCTTCCATCCTATTTAGTCTGATGCTGAGCCCATCCACTGAGGGGTTTTTTTTTTTAATTCTCCAGCTTCAAAATTTGCCAAAGGTTTTTCTTTAAATCTCCCATTTCTTTTAGAAGACATTTCTTTTTCCTTTGCAGAGATATTCCATGTTTTCACTTGTTTCCAATGTGTTCATTATTGCTCACTGGAGCATTTTTATGATGAGTGCTACAAAAGCTCTGCCAGATAATTCTAAAACCTGTCATCTCAATGCTAGTATTAATTGGTTGTCTTTTCTCACTTGAGATTTCCTAGTTCTTTGTATGATGAGTGATTTTTCTATTGAAACCTGGATATTTGGGGGTATTAATCAACAGTCCCAAACAGGATAAGACCAAGCCTCAAGCTATTGCTGAAAAGGGTTTTAGGCAGACATTACCTTTCTGTGCCAAGCGCCTCCCCATTTTTCATCCATCTAATGGTTGGAAGAGGAAGTCCCGCAGCCACACAGGGCAGCACTGCACTCTGACCGACAACTCTGACTAGGGAAGAAGGTTGTTTCAAAAATACCACATCTGATGTGACCCCAGGATCTAAAAAAAGAGATGAATAAAAAACAATAATTAAGAAAGCACTTTTCCAATTTAATAATAAGGAATGGCAAATTCCTATTCATTCTGTATGGCTTTGCATTTAAAATATTTTAAGCAAAGGTGACACAAGGAAATTCCATTTAAATGAGCCAACATTTCTTAAATAACTTCTGTGTGTGAAACAGTGTGCTAGGTTCTCTTACACATCTTTCAAGATGTGTAAGTTATAGCTGCTGCCTTCACGGTACTTACTAGTCAACTGAGGGAGGTCTGACATGAATCCCTTTTACTTTAAAAAACAGGAAAAAGTAAACACCTCCTGACTGGTACAAAGAGAGAAAGACTGCGCAAGTTCCGAATCCTTGTCATTCTCCCCATTCACAGTGACATCATAAGAGGTTGACTTTCCTTCCCCATATCTGTGCATTACTTCTGAAAATCCTTCTGAGTTTCATCTTTAGTTTGGTTCACTCAGTCTGTTGATCCTTTGGCTGTATAACAGTGCAGCCATCAGGCTACCACTATATGTGTGTTCATGTTATATAGTTCCTTAAGGATATATGAAAAAGCCACACTCTTATGAAGAAAAGATGGGGTTCTCTAAGTTTTGATGGTGTGATATTTCCAGTGTTAAGTTTTGAGGGGGGAAAAGAAAACATTCTCAGTCAAAGAGAGGTGACTCTTGTCCCCATATTCTTAGGGAAAGATGTCTTATAGTCATGGCAACAACCACCATATCTGGCTTTAAAGTTGTGCATGAAACAATGATAGCCCTGTAGCCATGGTAACAAATAAAAACTGTCTAACAGACCAGTAACAATCCATTTCAGTGAACATGCTTTGAGAGCCAACCAATCAGTGATAGCCACAGGTTTAAAAGTCAACAGGTTATTCAGCAATAGAATCACCTGCTTCTCAGACTGACATTAACTTGTTCTCACCTCTGTCATCAACCACAAAACACGCTTCTCTGACTAGCATTGATCTATCCATCCTTCTAACCAAAAAACAATGTCTTCTCAAAATTCCATAGAAGATTGGAAGTTTGCATTATTCAAGAAGACTATGTTTCTGAAGTAAAAAGATTAAAAAAAAACAAGTAAATGAAAGTATATACTGTGCTCATTAACAGAGAGAATTAAATCATTAAATATCTATACTACCTAAAACAATCTATATATTCAACACAACTGCTACCAAAATACCAACAGAGTATTTCACAGAACTAAAACAAATACATAGAACCACAAAAGACACTGAATAGCCACAGCAATCTTGAGAAAAAAAGAACAAAGTTGGAGGCCTCACCACTATCGATATCAAATTATACAACAAATCTATAGTAATCAAAACAGCATGGTACTGGCATGAACACAGACACAGAGATCAACAGACCAGAACAGAAAGCCCAGAAATAAACCCACACCTATGTAGCTCAATTAATTCAAGGCAAGTACATTCAAGAGAATAAAGATAGTTCATTCAATAAGTGCTGCTGGGAAAACTGGACAGATACATACAAAAGAAAAATGAAACTAGACCACCTTGTTATATCATCTACAAGAATGAACTCAAAATTGAAGACTTAAATGTATGACTCAAAATCATAGAACACCTAGAAAAAAACATAGGCAATCAAATCAGACATTTCTTTTAGCAGTGTTTTTCCTGATAGATCTCCTCAGGCAAGAGAAACAAAATTAAAGAAATGGAACTACATCAATCTAAACAGTTTTTGCACAGCACAGGAAACCATCAACAGAACAAAAAGACAACCTACTGAACAGCGTATTTGCCAATGATACATCCAATAAGGGGTTAATATCTAAAACTTATACAAAACTCATACAACTAAACACCAAAAAAACAAACAATACAATTAAAAATTGGCAGAGAACTTGAATAGACACTTCTCCAAGGAGGACATACAGAGGCCCAATAGACATATGAAAAGATAATCAACATCATTAGCCACTAGAGAAATGCAAATATCAAAACCACTGAGATATCCCTTCACACTTGTCAGAATGGCCACCATCAATAAACCCACAAACAACACATGATTGAGAAGATGTGGAGAAAAGGGAACCCTAGTGCACTGCTGGTGGGAATGCAGACTGGTGCAGCCACTGTGGAAAGCAGTATGGAGGGCGAGTCCTCAAGAAATTATAGTTGAAACTACCTTAAAACCCAGTGATTCCACGACTGAGTATACATCAAGAAACCCCAAACACTAATTTGAAACAATATATGCACCCCTATGGTATTTATAATAGCCAAGATATGTAAACAACCCAAGTGTCCACCAAGAGAGGAGTGAATAATAAAGAGGGGGTACATATATACAATGGATCTTACTTGTCCAGCAAACACTATGAAATCTTCCCATTTGTTGACAGCATGCATGGACCTAGATGGTATTATACTAAATGGAGTCAGTCAGAGAAAGAAAAACACCATATATCTCACTTATATGGGGAATCTAAAGAACCAAATAAACAACCAAAATTGAAACAGACCCAGGGAGAGCAGGCTGATGGTTGTTAGAGTGGAGGGGGTTGGGGGACTAGGTGGAAAAGGTGAAGGAATTGATAGGTACAGATGGGTAGTTACAAATAGCCAGAGGGATCTCAAGTACAGCATAGGGAATATGAGAGGAGACCCCCCCAAACCCTGGAATTATCTTACAATTGGCCCCTTGTAGCACAGGCTTCTCCCACTAGATGAGTGTTCTAGGAACCCATCTGTATCAGTGTACCAGCTGGCACTGTTGTGAGAGGATGCATTTTTTTTTGCAGTGAATTTTTTTGCAGACTTTTTCAATGTGTTTCCCCATTTCATGATGGGTGGTTTGTGAGCACATCTGCCCACACCAAGCTGAGTGTTCAGCAGCTTTTGACCAAAAACAGCATGACCCCCATGTACGACCCTCCCTATTTACCAGATCTCACCCCAAACAACCTTTTTTGTTTCCTTGGATGAGGAAAGGCCTCAAAAGCAAACATTTTGCCAGTGTGGAAGAGGTGAAGCAAAAAACAGCAAATGCACAAACAGGCATCAAAAACTGATGAGTTCAACACTGTTTTGAGCAGAAAACATCTTGATAGGTATGCTGCATTAATGGACAATAGTGTGACGGTGACTGAAGTTTAAATATGTAAGAATACACAATTTTTTATAAATAAGTTCCATTTTGGGTGTATTTCCTCTTGTATAGCTGATAATATTGTAATAACTATCTATGGTGCCTGGTGGGCACTGAGAATACCAGCAGGAAGACTTTGTAAAGTATATGACTACCTAATTGCTATGCTATACACCTGAATGTAATACAAAATAATATAGAATGTAACTGTAATTGAAAATTAAAGAAAGAAACTGCCCTTTACAGAGGTAAAAACAGTAGAATATCAGCAATTTATTGTGGGTTATTATGTTTCAACCAAAAATAATTCATGTCATATTTTAATCATCACCAAAAAAAGTTCTGGGTTTTTTAATGCTAATCTAAAAAATAAACTTGTTTAGCATTTTACTAATATTAATGTACGTGTTACAAATTGGTAATTAGAAAATAGTCATGGATATGTAAAATACTGCACAGGGAATATAGTCAGTAATATTGTAATAAGTATTATATGTAGGCATTGGAAATACTAGGGGGATACTTTGTAAAGTATATGATTATCCAACCTCACTGATGTACTCCTAAAACTAATACAAAATAATACTGAATATAAATAAACTGTAATTGAAAAATAATAGTCCAATACATGTTGTTTTTTTAAAAGACTGTGCTGGATGGACAAGCAAAGCTCTCCTGACTAAGTCAACAAAACATTCCACGCTTCGTTTTGGCTGCAGATCTCAGGGGGAGGCCTGTCCTTCGGCCCTGCGCACCTCGTTTGCTAGGACCCAGTCTGGAGGACCTGCCTGAGTGTTTCCCTGGGTATAGAGAAAAACGGAACTGTGCCATGTAAAAGGAAGTCAAGTAGTAGGCTGGAAGACATCGCTATCTGACAGAAGTTTTCTATTTTTTTTAACCTTGAGTTATTTAGCGAGATTTAATTGGGTTTTGATAGAAACAAACAAATTTGAACAAATATGTACCAGCCTCTACCCGCCAGTTACCATTCTTAGCATCAGACAAAAATTCCTTGTCCCCTTTGAGTTTACATTCTAACAGAGGGAGAAACAACAAATAAAAGATGGAAGTATGTCACACATGATATGTTCTGAAGTAAAATGAAGGGGGAGGGAGAAAGCACCAGGGTTAAGGGGCAGGGGGCGGGAGTGGAAGATTGTTGTCTTAAAGAGTGGTCAAGAAAGGCTTCCCTGATGAAGTCATATTTGAGCACAGAGGTAAGTCAGGCAGATGAGGGGAGAGGATTAGAAAAAAATGACAAGCAGAAAGGCCCAAAAGCATGATCGTGTTTGCAGTGCTTTTTAAATTGAAATATTTTACTGTTTATGCTATTACAGTTGTCCCAATTTGTTCCCCCTCTACCCAGCCTGCCCCCCACTCCCTACCCCATTGACTGTGCAAGTGGGAGGGAGGCTGGGGGGAGGGGGAACACATATACGTTCTTCGGCTAATCCATTCCTCTTCTTTCAGCCAGTCCCTACCACCTTCCTCCCCCATTATAGCCATCAGTCTGTTCCATGTTTCCATGCCTCTGGTTCTATTTTGCTCATCAGTTTGTTTTGTTCATTAGATTCCTTGTAGGTGAGATCATATGGTATCTGTCTCATTGACTGGCTCATTTCACTCTGCATAGTAGTAATCTCCAGTTCCATCCATGCTGTCTCAAAAGGTAAGAAGTTCCTTTTTCACTGCTGTGTAATATTCCATCGTGTAAATGCACCATAGTTTTTTTGATCCACTCATTTACTGATGGGCACGTAAAGCTGTTTCCAAATCTTGGCTCTTATAAATAGTGCTGTTATGAACATAGGGATGTATATATTCTTTTGAATTGATGTTTTGTGATTCTTAAGGTATATTCCCAGCAGTGGTATTACTGGGTCAAAAGTCAGTTCCATTTTTAATTTTTTTAAGGAAATTCCATACTGTTTTCCAGTGGCTGTACCAGTCTGCATTCCTACCAACAATGCAATAGGGTTACCTATTCTCCACATCCTCGCCAGCACTTGTTTATTTATCAATGATGGCCATTTTGGCAGGTATGAGGTGATATCTCACTGTGGCTTTAATTTGCATCTCTCTGATGGCTAATGATGTTGACCATTTTTTTCATATGTCTATGGGCCACCTGTATATCCTCCCCAGAGAAGTGTCTGTTCAAGTCCTTTGCCAATATTTTGATTGGATTGTTTTGTTCCTGGTAGTAAGTTATAAAGTATTTTATATCTCTTGAAGATTAAACTCTTATCTGATGTATCCCTGGTAAATACGTTCTCCCATACAGTGGGTTCCCTTTCAATTTTGATGATGTGGAGTGTTTTAGAAATATAAGGTGGTCACAATCGCAGAGTAAGGAAGTGAAAAGTATGAGATGTAAGAAGAAAAATGGGGGAGGGAGGTGGCATGAATTTTATATATAAAGCCTTGCAGGTGAAGGATGTTAAGATTTGTTCTGAGATGGGGAACCAATATGAGGTTTCGAGCAAAGATGTGACAAGGATCTAATACATGTTTTGAAGATAACCCTGCTGCTGAGCTGAGAATACACTGGGATAGGAATGACAAGGGTAAAGATGATGATGACAAAGAAAGAAACTACATTTAAAATATCAGTTTGAGAATCATCAGGAACACCATCAAGAGTCCCTGCCCATCATCATATTAGTCTCATTTTGCAAGCCAATCCATAGGCTAAAAATATTCCTATGTAGTCATCATATATAAAACCTATCCATCCTATATAGGGATGGTCCAATTATATTCACAAACACATAAAATAAGAAATGTGAAGTGAATCAGGCACCTAGCAGTGGGAACAGGAGCTGAAAGATCATGAAACATCAATAGGGGAGAAACGACAGTGAGCTACAGGTGAGAGAAAGTGATGAGTAAGAAGTTACACAGCTGAGAAAAGACACACAAAACAGATTATGAGGAAAGCCAGTAGAAGCAGAGAGAATGAGAACTTGCAAAGAGAAGGAAAGAGGAGCTGGGTTTACATTAAAATGGGTGAGCATTATAAATATTCGGGAACTCTTGCTTACCAGTCTCAAGAGCTGCTGTAGTAACCACTCTGCCTATTTCTTGTATAAACTAGCCTGAGCAAGTTTCTAATTCTTACAAGTAAAAAGACCTAACTATAAAAAGTATTCTATTATAGGCAAGAACAGAACTCAAAGATGTATCCTGCTGTGGGTAAGCCTGACCAGAAAAACACAGAGCTAATGTTTCTTTAGTCAAAAAGAATACAATAGATACTGAATATACATTATTTCTTGATAAATTTTTACTGACAAATGCATTAACTTAAGTACAGATCTTTCTCATATGCCTTCTTCTTTTCCCTCCTTCTAAGAAATTGAGACTCCTTATGCCGACACTAATATGTCACATATTTAACATTGTTTATTAAACAATTCTAACAGAACAAATTTTACCCATCAATGAATATAAAACCATCAGCCCTGGTAGTAAATGAATACCTGGAAGAACTTTTAATTCAGCTTCATCACTATACTTTGGCGGCCCACCACTTCCAACTATGCAGCGGTAAAGTCCCCCATCCCCTTCAGTCGCATTGCTGACAACCAGCGTCCCGCTTGGAAGTTTGATGACTCTGCCATCCAGAGGAAGAGGCTCCCTGTTCCGTTCCCATCTCACAAACGGGGCCAAATCTGCATTAACTTCACAATTGAGAACTGCACTGTTCCCAGCATAAACTGAAGAAGGTTCTGGTTGGCTGGCAAATCTTGGAAGACCTGGACAATAAAAGAGAAAATAAAATGTAGTTAAACACTATGTTAAAATGTAGTCATGGGGACCAGAAGCAAGTGGGCCCATGAGACCACAAGTATGACTGAACCAGGGTCAAGAAGGAGATTCATGAGTCAGGAAATTTGCTACACACAGGATTGCAAATCAAACTAGTAAATGTACTAAGGACACTTGGAGTCAGATTCCCCACCATGAGAGAAGCATGGCACAATTATGGAAAAGAAGAAGGGCTGGATAAACCCCAGGGTACTGGACTAGAACAGAGGTATCAGTGTAAATAAACTTAGGGTTTTATAGAATTATACACATACAAATATAAAGAGGTATATACATATGAAAAACATATACATTTTATATACATACACAGTACGTTCATCTGTTCAGAGTCCAGAATCAATGTCACTGCAGTGGAAATGAGTATATATGGTGACTCGATCTTGATTTTTAAATACCATTACCCAATACAAGTAACCAATGTCCCTTGGAGAAATGGCTGATTCTAGGACTGGAATGGGGAAAGTGCAAGATGAGCTTGGAATGTCTTGTGAGAAAAAAAGGAAGAAGTATCCAAAGAACAATATGGGTAAATCAGACTGAGGGGAGTTTTTCCTTTGCCTAAATCTGGGATAATGAATCATAAATGGATGCTAAAACTAGTAGGTGAAAGTTGAATGAGGAAGAGGATATTTATAGAATATCAAATTATCTCTTCCCCAAATTAATAAAAGTACTATTAAGTTTACAGTGGAGAAACATAGCATAGAGCACCTTGACTAAAAATGAAAGTCAGCATTACCAATAATGGAACATAACATGCTTCCTGATGAGATGCACCAAGAACAGAGCATCACTATGGTACTCCTCCCAGAGATGCAAGACCTGAAGCTATTCATAGAAGAAAACCAGAACAACCAAAATGAGACAAGGAAAAAGAACAATGGTCTGAAGTTGAAAGAGTCTAAAGAGACAACTAATTACTAAGTAAAATATGTAATCCTGGACCAGAAAGGTAAAGAAGTGGGGATAAGTTTCTGCTTTTGTTTTTTCCCTTGCTTTTTTGCTATTAAAAACAAGATAAGCAGTAAAATTTGAATGGCATCTATAGATTAAATGATAGTATTGTATTAATGTTAATTTCCTAAAAATCAATGGACTGTTATTTAGGAGAATGTCCTTATTTTATAAAAAGCTTCTGCACGGCTAAAGAAAACAGCATTAAAATGAAAAGAAAACCAACTGTATGCGAAAATATATTTGCCAATGACACTTCAGACAAGGGTTTGATCTCTAAAATATATAAGGAACTCACACGACTCCACTCCAGGAAGATAAACAACCCAATCAAAAAATGGGCAAAAGACCTGAACAGACACTTCTCCAAGGAGGACATACAAAGAGCCCAGAGACATATGAAAGGATGCTCAGCATCACTAGCTATCAGAGATGCAAATTAAAACCACAATGAGATACCATTTCACACCAGTCAGAATGGCCATCATAAACAAATCAACAAACAAGTGCTGGTGAGGATGTGGAGAAAAGGGGACCCTAGTTCACTGTTGGTAGGAATGCAGACTGGTGCAGCCACTGTGGAAAACAGTATGGAATTTCCTCAGAAAACTAAAAATGGAACTGCCTTTTGACCCAGGAATTCCACTGCTGGAATTATATCCTAAGAATCCTGAAAAACAAATCCAAAAGAACCTATGCACCCCAATGGTCATAGCAGCACAATTCACAATAGCTAAGTGCTGGAAACAGCCTGAGTTCCCATCAGTATATAAGTGGATTAAAATACTGTGGTACATTTACATGATGGAATACTATGCAGCAGAAAGAAAGAAGGAGCTCCTACCCTTTGTGACAGCATGGATGAACTGGAGAGCATTATGCTAAGTAAAATAAGCCACGTGGTGAAAGACAAATACCATATGATCTCACCTTTAAGTGGAACCTAATCAACAAAACAAACAGGCAAGCAAACTATAACCAGAGACATGGAAATTAAGAACAAACTGACAGTAACCAGAGAGGAGGTGGAAGGGGATAATAGAGGAAAAGGGGGAAGGGTTTTCAGGAACATGTATAAAAGACACATGGACAAAACCAAGGGTGGGGTAGGATCAGAGGAGGGAGGTGGGGATGGCTGGGGTGGGGGAAGTAGTGGGGGGAAAATGCAAACGACTGTACTTGAACAACAATTTTAAAAAAAGAAAATATATACATAAGTATTTAGGTACCTTCTGTAATTTACTCTTAATAGTTCAGAAAAAACACCCAGAAAAAATTTATTTGGGTATATGCATATTTGGGGGGTGTGATAAGGCAGATGTGGTAAAATGTTGACAATCAGGTAATCTGAGTGAAGACTAATGGGATTTCTTGGTTTCATTCTTGCAATGATTCCATAAGTTTGAAATTGCTTAGAAATAAAATATTAACAAAAAAATTAAGTCATAAATACCCTACACACGCCACAGAATGCAATGGTTGAGAGCATGAGTTGTAGAGTCATGTAACCTGCATTTGAATCCCAGCTGCACCGCCTCACTGGTGACTGTGTAGTGCTGGGAAGTCACTTAACCTCTAAGTCTGTTTCTTCATTAGTGAAGTGAGAAGAGTTACAGGCCTCAGAGTTGTTAAAAAGGTCGAACGCTTAACTAATTAAATACATGACAAATTCACGTGTAGCATACTGCCTGGCACATAATTACTCAACAAATGTAGCGACTATTACTAAAATTAATGTCTAAGAGTGACTGAAATGCTCAGAATATAACAAAATGTTTCTTTAAAGAATAACATATTAAATTATGAGAAACAAGTATATGTCTTCTAGTTTTATGATGGTTAATTAATCCACATGTAAAAATACACATTTATAGTTTGTCCAGCTGTGCTAAAAATATTTAAAATTTTTTGATTTAAGGGAATTTTTGAAGAAAGGAAATAAAGATAAAATTAACAAAATTCCCAGTTTTCAGAAACCAGAAAATTAAAAAGAAATTAACAAAAACACGCAGATATTAACAAAGAAGGGAAAAAAGGAATCTGGAATAAAATCAAGAGCTAGTTCCATTTTTTAAAAAGTCAAAAAATTCTTTCTACTTAAGTCTCATTAAAATGAGTAATTTAAAAAAACCTAAACCCACAACAACATATGGGGAGTCAGCAGACAGAAATTTCAGAAAGTTTCTGAGTCGAGAAAGCAGATGCAGGAACTAAAAACTGACACTGAGGCAGAAAGCGCTGCAGCTTCCCGTGCTCGGAAGCAGGCGGCCAGTTTGTCCTGCTGCCTTGGAAGAACTGTAGGGGAAAAGAGAGTGGGAAGGGGGCTGCCAAGAAAAAATTACAATGTCTCTATTTAGACCACCCAACTGCCCATCTAGCAGTTCAAAACACTCCCAGTCAGGGTAATGTCCAAGCAGTAAAACAAGATTTTCTGCTGTGGAGAAATGAGACAGCCCAGAGAAAAAGACCTCTTGTATTTAATTCTATGACCTGTCTACTTAGTGTTCTTTCAAAAATTCCCCTTCTTGATTGACTGACTGGCCATAATCTGTTTCTGTTGCTTTGCATCACAGACCTTTAAATGAATAGTCTTTTAGAATGGTAATTTGGCCGTATTCCTTTTTTTTAAAAAGCTGTACTGAGATACAATTTATACAGTATAAAATTTACCATTTAAAGTATACAATTCAATGGTTTTAGTATATGCACAGAGTTCTGCAACAATGACCATATTCTGATTTTTTAGAACATTTTCATCATATCCCCCCAAAAACCTTGAACTCACTTGCAGCATTCCCCATACCTTTTCTCCCTCGCCGCCCCCCAATATCCTTATCTCCCTTCATTCTTAGCCCTAGAAAACCACCAATCTACCTTTTGGCTCTGTATTTGCCTATTCTGGATTTCATACATATGAAGTCATTAACTAGGTAGTCCTTGGTGACTGGCTTCTTCAGGTCAGCATAATGTTTTTAAGACATCTATCTTGCAATATATATCAACTTCATTCCTTTTCATTGCCAAGTAATACTCCATGTACGAATACACCACATTTTGGTTACCCATTCTTCACTTGATAGACACGGTCATTGTTTTTACTTTCTAACTATTATGAACAAGCTGCTATAAACATTTATGCACAAACTGTTGTGTGAACATGCCTTTTCATTCTCTTGGGTACCAGATACCTAGAAATGGAACTGCTCAGTCATATGGTAACTCTATGGTTAACATTTTGAGGAAATGTCAAATGGTTCAGTGCTCTTTTTAAATTACACACTCTCACACACACACACCAAGTATCCCCTATGATACAGCAAGTAGCAGATTACTGTGTTCAGTGATCTATCCCACAGAAATAAATATTTGTAAAAGGCCATTCATTATAGAATTATCTGCCCTCTCAGTCTTTATCCATGTAAACTGTTCCTCAAAAGGAGAATCTTTAGATAATTCACAGTGTATCTATAAATGAATATGATATAACTACTAAAAAGAACTATTATTCTCTCAGTATTTTTCCTCCTGATACCCAGGCCAAAGAATTTATCATCTTGTATTAAAATTACCTGTTTACTTAAATATTAGGTAAAAAAAAAAAGTTAACAGGAAGAATGAACAAACTTAGCAGAGGAGAAGAAAGAGAGGAAAAGGTAGAAGACAGCCTTACTAGGCAGTGGGGAAGCCATGAGCAAAAGCCAGAGGCAGAGACGGAAGGGGATTGAAAACATTTGGTACTGCCAAAACTTAAAATGCTGTGATGGTGATGGAGGCAGAGGGTGAAGTGATAAGAAATAAAGTGGGAGAAGTGGAAGCCAGATCATGAAAGAGGCCTTAAGGAGTTTAGAGTCACCTCATGTCGCTACTAGAGTCACCAATGGGTGAGACACAGAGCTCTGACCAGTGTGGAGACGGACCGGTGGAGGAAAAGGGTTATGTAGCAGGCAGTTACAAGGCTGTGGTGAGGGATGATGAGTAGCCTCAGGAAGGATATATGAATCAAGTACAGAGAAAGCAGAATTCACTGGATTTGGTGATTGGATACAGGGTACAGCTGAAAGGAAGCAGTTCTGGTATATACTACAAAAATAGTAAAGGGTAAGAACATCAGTGATAAACAGGAGCATTATAGGGGCAGTCATGATGCCAACTTATTTATCAATAAGTTGGAGAAAGCTTGGCAAAAAGATTTTAAAAATAAGAAGAAAAGATAGGTTGTCTGAAGAACTGACTTTTAAAAAAATTCTTCCATTCTCAATGTTTAATTATGGAATAACTGCAGCAGCCTTACATCACATTCAAGTACAACTTTGAGTATTTTGCTCCGAAGAGGAAAAGAGCCATCCTGCTCTGAATGAACGAGCAAACACACCCCGGAGCGAGCACAGCACGGGGGCCAGGGGCTGCAGTGGGGAGGAGATGGGAAACTAGTCTCGGCCATTTTCCTTTTTCGCATGCCAGCATTTAACCAAGGTGACGATAAATATAAGACTTAAAGACAATACAATTTTTGTACAGTGTGAAATTTAACAAAAACTAAAAGTATTTCATCTGGTTTTCAGGTGAAGAAACCCTGATCTGAGGAATGCCAGTGTCTACTACAAAACAAGGATGACTTACGTGGGAACCACATCTTACTCTTCTGAAGTCTTAATTTTTCTTACATTTTCCATCATTCTTCAAATGAGAATGCTCTAAAGTAAATGTTTCTCTCCTTAAAACTTTGTTCTTTACCTTAATATAGATAGCCTACAGATTTTCCAATAATTTATCCAATTAAATCTCACTTCCTTGGTTAAGTCATCATTCTGGCTCTACTTTGAGTTTTATAAAGCCATACTAAATAGTTATGCTGAGCAGGACAAAAGTTAGCAACTAAAGTGACTCAATTTCCCCACATAAGCTCCTCTGTCACTTCCAAGTTACAAAGAAAAAAAACAAGAACTGGTTCAGCACTTCTGATAGCAACCTTAAGCCACCTAAATGGTTAGAATGTGGGGAAATGCTATAGTTTATTCTCTATAGCACTGAACATGTCCTATACCATACATGGTCAACTGACACTTGTTAAATAAGTGTATCGTCTGCTGTTAGCAGTTAAATGAAAAGTTTAGGATAATACTGCTTTTATTAAAATTTACCCTTTATAAAACTTTGAAAACACAAATAAATTACTTAACAAAACTTACCTGCTACTGTGAGCTTGGCTGTTCTACTGACAATAGTTCCAAGACTCTCAACGGTGGCCACGCACTGATAATAACCTTCATCAGGTTTATTGTGTTTGGAATGCACCACATTGCTGATAAATAAAGACCCGTCTGGGAGAAGCTGGCGTCGATCATCTGATACCAAGTTCAGAAATGTTCCATCTTTTTTCCACTCAATTTTTGGAGAGGATTCCGAATATGCTGAACAGTTTAATACAACAGAAGAGCCTCTAACTGACAGTGTGTCCACTGGCTCCGCCAGAAAATAAAATGGAGTGAATGTTCGAATGCTGGATCCTACAAAAATAAAAGAAAAAGAACAAAGTTATCCAAAACTTTCTTCTACTATTTCTGTTAAAAAAATGTCCAAAATTATTTATAAATAGTTATGCTTTTTAGGTGTGATACATAAATAGTCATTTCACTATGAATATCTAATAAATAAAATTCATTTTTCATTAGGAAATCAAAAATTGACACATTTAGAAGAATGATCCAAGATGGTGGCAGAGGCGGTGAATGTTACCACTCATCTCCTTCAGGGTCCAAACTGAAATTACAACTGAACTTTACAACAATCAAACTCAGTAACCAACTGAAGACTAGCTTTAAAAAGTCTTATAACCAAGGATCTAGAGAAGAAGCCACCCTGAGACTGGCAGGAAGGGCAGAGACGCACAAAGGGCTGGCCATCTCGGCTGCAAATGTCCCGCGTGAGGAGTGAGGGCTATCAACCCCAGGCTCCTCAGCCTGAGCACCAGGGCTGGAAAGGGGTTGTGGCCTGTGGTGAAAGCTTTCTTCAAAGACTCTTGAGGAGGTCCGGGTAGACTAGAGGAGAAACGGAGTTGTATGGCTCTGAAGTGGAGTCCCTTTCCCCTCTGCACATCTGATGGATGCCACTATTCCCATGCAAAACCCTCCCTCCACATGGCTAAATGTTCATCTGTCTGGACCTGAAAATCCTACTGCCCTCACCCTAATAACTTCGAGACCCTACCCACCACAAAGGTCCATGGGCACCCAATGGGTGGTGGCTGGCCTTAGAGCATCCTGAGATTTATGTTGAGTGGCCTCAGATCCAGCACTGATGCCAAGGTTGAATGTGTTATCAATGTCATGAATACCACCCGCTCCTACCTGGTGACTCACTGAGACCTACCTCACACAACTCGAATACCAGCAGAAGCTGCTTCATTGGTTGAGCCTACCAGACAGCCTGCAGGCGAAGGGTAATCTAAGCACTCTGACCTTTTGCTGACCTCTCCCTGGCTCTGTACTGGTGGAAGAAAACCTTGGTGTGCAGGGTGGCCCCTTTCATGCACATCCAGGCCCAGCAGAGGCACTCCCAAGAGTCCCTAGAACTAAACCCACTGGTAGGCTTCAGACCAACCACATCAGTGCATGATCCGATTAACTCCACAAGTGGCACACAAAGATCTCAGTAGGTACCAGGCACTGATGGGGCCAACTCCATTTCATGACGTTAGCCCCTGCACAGAAGCTTATACACAGTGGCAGGAATGGAGCCCCAGTCAGCCAGCCCAGGACCAACCCCCCAATGAATGGGCAAAGAGCAATCAAGACTAAACCTACAAAAGGAGAGCTCACATAACACACATGAGACATTTCTGGAGCACCTTGCTTGGGTGATCAGGGATACTGCACTACTTGGTATGCCCTCCATACCAAGACTGGAAGGCATAGCAGATCTACCTAATGTACAAAAACTAATTCAGAAAGGCAGCTAAAATGGGGAGATAAACAGACATATAAGATAAACAGACATATAAAAACAGATAAATAAAAAAAAACAAGATAAATCTCCAGAAAAAGACCTAAATAAAATAGGCAAGCAATCTACCAGAGTTAATAATAGTTATAAGGATGCTCAAGAAATGCAGGCAAATAATACATGAACTCAGTGAGAACTGAAATAAAGAGATAGTAAACATAAAAAATTATATGTACGAACCTTAAAAAAGAACCAGTAAGTAATAAAGAACACAATGATCTGAAATGAAGAATATACTAGAAAAAAACCAACAGCAGGTTAGATGAAGCAGAGGATAAAATCAATGATTTGGAAGATAAGATAGCAGAAAACATTGGATCAGAACAGCAAAAAGAAAAAGGAATTTAAAAAAAGCAAGGAAAGTCTAAGGGCCTCTGGGACAACATGAACCACAACAACATCTGCGTAAGAGGGGTACCAAAAGGAGAAGAGAAAGAGCAAGGGATTGAAAACCTACTTGAAGAGATGATTATTGGAAACTTCACTAAGCTGGTGAAGAAGAAAGACCCACAAGTCCAACAAGCACAGAGAGTCCTAAACAAGATGAACCCAAAGAGGCCACACCAAAAATACATCACAATTAAAATAGCAAAGGTTAAAGACAAAAAGAAAAATTGAAAAGCAACAAGAAAAGAGAGTTTACCTACAAAGGGAGCTCTAATAAGACCGTTAGCAAATTTCTCAACAAAACATTTCAGGCCAAAAGGGACTGGCACCAGAAATTTAAAGTGATGAAAGCCAAGAATGTGTGATTAAGACAACTCTATCCAACAAAGCCATTGTTTAAAATTGAAGGAGAAAGAAAGACCTTTCTAGACAAGAAAAAGCTAAAGAAGTTCACCACCAACAAACCAATATTACAAGAAATGTCAAAAGGACTTCCTGAAGGAGGATGAAGAGGAGGGGGAAGGAGCACAGAGAAGAAGTGCAAGAGGATGAGGGAGGGAAGAAGAGGGGAGAGAAGGAACATAATTATAAAGAATAAAGTGCAGCCAAGATGGAGGCATATGTAAATACACTTTGCCTCTTCACACAACCAAAAGGACAACAACAAATTAAAAAACAAATAACCAGAAATGACAGAACATCAAACTGTATGAAGTCCAACAACCAAAGAGTTAAAGAAGAAACATTCATCCAGACTGGTAGGAGGGGCAGAAAAGACTTGCAGCAAAGCGGCAGCTAGAGGACTGGGAAGGTGAGGCAGCAGCTAGTGGAATGGGCTGCCCCACATCTGCCAGAGGATAAAGCAAGAGGAACAACTGAGGAATGAGATACACCACGCAATCCAGGATTCCAATGTGGGGAACCCATGAGGGTTCCAGGGTGGGGAAATAAAGCCTCAAAACCTCTAATTGTAAAAACCTGTGGGGTTGTGGCAGAGGGAGAAATTCCCAGCCTCACAGGAGAGTTCAGTGGAGAGACCAATGGGGTCCTAGAATGTACACAAATCCACTCACCTGGGGATCAGCACCAGAAGGGCCCAACTTGCTTGTGGGTAGTGAGGGAAGTGACTGAAAGCCCACAGAGTCAAGCAAGCAGCATCGTTCCCTCTCAGACCCATCCCCCACATACAGCACCATAATGCAGGGACATGTGTTGCTCTGCCCTGGTGAAAACCTATGGCTCCACCCTTTAATACAGAACAGGTACATGGAGACAACAAAATATGGCCCAAATAAAAGAACAGATCAAAGCTCTAAAAATAGTACTAAGCAATGAAGAGATAGTCAACCTATCAGATGCAGAGTTCAAAACACTGGTAATCAGGATGCTCACAGAAATGGTTGAGTATAGTTGCAAAATTGAGGGAAAAGTGAATGCTATGCAAAGTGAAATAAAGGAAAATACACAGGGAAGCAACAGTGACAGGAAGGAAACTGGGACTTGAATCAATGGTTTAGAGAAGGAAGAAAGAAACATTCAACCAGAACAGAATGAACAAACAAGAATTCCAAAAAAAAAAAAAACAAATGAGGAGAGGCTTAGGAATCTCCAGGACATCTTTAAACGTTCCAACATCCGAATCAGAGGGGTGTCAGAAGGAGAAGAGGAAGAGCAAGAAATTAAAGACTTATTTGAACAAATAATGAAGGAGAACTTCCCCAAACTGGCAAAGGAAACAGGCTTCTAGAAAGTCCACAGAGTCCCAAAGAAGTTGGACCCAAGGATGAACACACCAAGGCACATCATAATTACATTACCCAAGGTTCAAGATAAGGAGAGAATCTCAAAAGCAGCAAGAGAAAAGGAGATAGTTACCTCCTTTGTAGGAGTTCCCATAAGGCCATCAGCTGATTTCTCAAAAGAAACTTTCCAGGCAAGAACGGTCTGGAAAGAAGTATTCCAAGTCATGAAAGGCAAAGACCTACATCCAAGATGACTCGATTCAGCAAAGTTCTCATTTAGAAGTGAAGGGCAGATAAAGTGCTTACAAGATAAGGTCAAGTTAAAGGAGTTCATCATCACCAAGCTCTTATCACAGGAAATGTTAAAGGGACATATCTAAGAAAAAGATGATGATCAAAACTATGAACAGTAAAGTGACAACAAACTCACCAAATAAACTTAAAAAAATAAAAACAAAAACAAACTAAGCAAACATCAGAATCACAGAAACAGGAACAGAATCCCAGAAATGGAGATCACATGGAGGGTTATCAGCATGGAGGGGGAGGGGAGCTAATGAGGAAAAAGGTACAGGGAATAAGAAGCATAAATGGTATGTCCAAAATAGACGGGGGGAAGTTAGGAATAGTATAGGAAGTAGAGAAGCCAAAGAAGTTATATGTACGACCCAGGGACATGAACTGTGGTGGGGGGTGGGGCGGGGAATGCTGGTGGGAGGAGGGGTGTAGGATGGAGGGGAATAAAAGGGAGAAAAAAATGAGACAACTGTCATAGCATAATCAATAAAATACATTTCAATAAAGTACAACATCAACATCATCCATTATTTTAGAATATGCAAAGAATTGATCTGAGATTACTATTTTGACATGGATAAACTACCAAAATTCTCTCATGCTTGCCTTTTCTTTCTTATATTCTTTTCCACTATGCCTTTCTCTAGACAAAATTTAGCTTCTATTGTGTCCAGTTGTTGGGGGTTTATACCACTCCTGTTACGAACCAAATTGTGTTCCCCAAAATACTCAAATTAAAGCCCTAGCCCTCAATGTATTTGGAGACAGAACCATTAAAAAGATAATTATGTTTGCCCTAGCTGGCGTAGCTCAGTGGATTGAGTGTGGGCTGCAAACCAAAGGGTCACCAGTTCAATTCCCAGTCAGGGCACATGCTTGGGTTGCAGGTCAGGTTCCAGGTAGAGGGCGTACGAGAGGCAACCACACACACAGATGTTTCTCTCCCTGTCTTTCTCCTTCCTTTCCCCGCTCTCTAAAAATAAATAAATAAAATCTTAAACAAAAAAAGAGATAATTATGCCTAAATGAGGACACAAAGGTAAAGATCCTAACTGAACAGGCTGGCTGTCCTTATAAAA